CTACTTAAGGGGGAGTATAGGGGTTCTGCGTTGCTCGTTCAGTTTTTGATATTCCTCATTGTGCTGTAAGCCCCCTAAGTTCTTTTGAGCAAAAGGGCCACCGTCAGCTAAAACTTGGACTTTGTAAGCTACCATCGGCAAAACGGATAAAGGCAAAGACAAGTATCAATGTTTTGAGCACTGCTCACCGATGGAGGGTGTTGATGTTCCTCGAAAATGGAGCCCCCCTTGATCATACCCACGCGGCTCCAGTTGAGGTTACGATGCATTCTTCACGTATCCTCCATCCCTAGACGTCTACCGGAAGGGCATGGGCACAACTAGGACAAGCAGTACCATGACATCCGTGACGCTGACGACTAGCCTGACTTTGACAACCACCCTGTGGCATGCAGAGGGGTCCTGGCAGTATGTAGGTTCATGTACAATTAGTGGAGACTGCGCGCAGACTCCTCAGGACGGTGAGGGGCAATGCACGCTCACGCTCCCTCGAGGCACACCGGTGAAGGTGACACAGGTGGGTTCCTCGCCTGCTGGGAATTTCAGCATTGACGGCCTGGACCTTGTGCCTGGCCAAGACACTGGCCGCACCTTCGTGGTTGACGCGGCGATCTCGTGGTTGGGTGCTGGTTCAGGCAGTTCAGGGGGGACCGGCTTCTGGGAGGTTTGCATAGCAAGGCCAACCTGCTCGGATGGCCTCTCCGTCTCGCCTCTGTCCTCTGCAGAGTGCCCTGCAAGTGCAGAAGACCTCCCAGGCTGCCAGGCGGCCCTGCCCGGTGAGCTTTGTGTAGGTGACGGTGAATGTCTTACCTACACCGACCTTGGCAACTGCCCGCCAGCAGCTGTCTACAGGAAGGAGACGGGTTCAACCCGGACGCTGACCTCAACAACATCCGCTACGGCGACCTTTACCCCCTCCGCATGGCAAGTGGCGGGCCCATGCACTGTGACTGGCACCTGTGCACAGAGCCCAAATTATCCAGAGCCGTATGGGCCGGATGAGAGATGTCAGCTCACTCTTCCTGCAGGCTCAATGGTTACAATTGCGGCCTTTGCCACGGAGCCTGGGCCGATCCATTGCCTTGACCCATTGCATTTCCCAGTTTCCTTTTGCATTTCAAGCAGCTCTTTCAAATAAATGCTTTTCATCCTGGACAGCGTAGGAGCTCAACTACGACCGCCTCACCATCAATGGCCAGGATTACAGCGGACCCGGACGCGCCATTGTTGGCAAGTCCTTCACCGTCACCGGACCTCCAGGGTTTCTGGGAGGGACCTAGAGGGGTCACTACGGTAGGGGCCTCAATAAATACCCACTTAATGGTCACGGATTGCTTCTTCAATCAGGGTATAGAGTCTCTGCCAAGTAGACCTCAACATGATAGGGGTAAAATGATTTGGCATTGCACTCTATCCTGCCTGAATGAACAATGGAAGCTCACAGGGCCCCAGAGTCCCTTTCATGTTCCCGGTTTGTTAGGGGTTTAGGATTTAGGGTATGTACCTGCTGTATTTAAAATAGCTCTCGCAGAATTTTAGCCGCTTAACAGCAAGACCCCCCTAGGTTGGACACTTACCTTAGTTAGAGCATTCCCCAAGCATCTCAATTTCAGCAAGATACCCTAAATAACGGTCGCATATATGACTGCTAGAGGGTGGGGGCAGTATCCAAGGAATAGG